GGCGCCCTACCTTCCAGGGGGCGCGGGCTGAGCGTCCGGCCAAGCACGTAGGAGAGCGGTGGGGGATGCTGGACAGGCGCCGTGGGGTAGCCCCGCCGGGCCGCCCAGCCGCGCTCCGCCACTCGCTCGCTTCTCCCCCGCGGCCAGTGGCACGGGGGAACAGACGAGGAAAAGCAAAAATACTCATCGGTGCAGATAAAGAGTGGTTTAATAAGTGAAGAAGTGGGAGAAGAAAGGAGGAAAACGGAACAAGTGGTGCTGAGGCAATCGCTCTCCGCGCCGTGGGGTAGCCCCGCCGGGCCGCCCAGCCGCGCTCCGCCACTCGCTCGCTTCTCCCCCGCGGCCAGTGGCACGGGGGAACAGACGAGGAAAAGCAAAAATACTCATCGGTGCAGATAAAGAGTGGTTTAATAAGTGAAGAAGTGGGAGAAGAAAGGAGGAAAACGGAACAAGTGGTGCTGAGGCAATCGCTCTCCGCTTCCCACAGGCAGACCGATGCCCAGCCAGTTCCTGGGAAAAACATGGTTGACATCCCTAAACCCCCTCCTCTCCGCTCTGCTGCGGGGCGTAACGGTACACAGCGTGGAGTATCTCTTTCCTCGGTTCAGGTCACCTGCCCAGTTGTGTCACCTCCCAACCTCTTGTGCACCCCCAATCTATTCACTGGGGGGGGGGACGACAGAGTGAGAAACGGAAAAGGCTGGGATGCTGTGCAATCACAAATCTAAACCACAGCCCCCTACGACCTGCGGTGGAGACAGTTAACTCCATCCCAGCCAGACCCGGGGCAATAGGTAACAAAAGATGTCAGAGAGGGAGAGCTGTGGAGTCTTCTTCTGATGAAGAAGTACGGTGCTGTAGCTGTCGTGTAATGATGTGTACTCAGTAATAAAAAAAGGTACTCCTCTGTGTCTTGGAAATACTCCTCTGCATGGAAATATGCAGGGGTCTGGGAGGGTCGACTTTGACTTAAACTTTTAGGAAGAGTTTGCAAGAATACTGTAAATGCTGTAAATAACGCTGTAAGCAAGAACGCTTTCCTCCTTCCAAAGAGTTACTTGGGAAAAGGAGACCTTTGGCAGAAAATTAACTTCTGCTTCTGGAAAGATTAAGAAAATATTTCTAAAATTCTGAGGGGGAGAGGGGAGGAGAGTTGGTCATGGAGAAACAGAGAAACTGTAAAAGGCGGTATCAGATTTCCAGGAGAGGAGCAAAGATGGTCTAAATTTAGGCAAGGAGGCAGAGGAGTGATGGGAGATAAAGAATTTTTAAATTTGCTGTGCCTCGCTGGGGCACAGGGTGGAGATAGCGATTCAGATCTGGGTCCGTCGAAGCAAAGGGTTCCCAGATACAGCCTCCGTAAAATGCAAAACAGACCCGTAGTTCATAAAGTTTTGGGCTTTGTGATGGATCGATGTTTTTGCATTCTTGTGGCACTTGATCCTTGCCTGTCAGCATTCATCAGCTGACTAGCGCCTCAGCACTTACCTACATTAAAATTTCTTACCCATTGTTTTTAAAGAAAAGTTTGGGGTTGTAGATTATTTCTTACCAAATTGCTTACCAAATTAAACTAGTGCAGATTGCAGTGAGTGTATGCAGAAAATTTACATGAAGAATCCCTGCTGGCATTCACATTTACGGAGCAGACTTCTTGTGATCTCGGGAAACGTAACCTGCACCCAGGACCGGCATGTGTAAAACCTACCCAGTGGACATCCAGGAATGAGCTGGGATGAGGTACATAGGAGGAACGGTGGCATAATGAGCTATAGGGTCCCTATTTTGGAGTGCAAAGAAGCGTTATTTGATTGCAGCAGGTAATCTAGAGCGCTAACAAATTGATATAGAATCATAAAATAATTTAGATTGGAAGGAAACCTCCGGAGTTCACTCAGTTCAAAGCAGGGCCAACCTCAACGTTACAGTCTCTTGCTCAGGGACAAAGTCTCAGGCTCCTGGACTGTTTGCTGAGAAGACCTTTGGTAATAGCTCCTCCCAGATCATCTCACCACACTTTTGATTTGTCAGCTTGCTACAAGGGATTCCACCGCTGTGCAGTGCACTCAACAAAGGGAACTTAACCAAATCATTGTGGCTAATTTAATCGGTCTATAATGGCTCTGTCACATCAGAATTGAGGTTGTATCAGTCTATTTGATGAGTCCGTTTTACTGAGTGTCTTCATGGACACAGGTCTTCCCAGGTAATCTTAACTTTTGCATAACGCTTTTTTGTCACCGAGTAATTCGCAAAAATTTTCAAACCACTTAATCTTCATTGCAGAAATTCTTGTTTTCAGACTGCTTTGTTGCAAAGGAAGTTTTATATCATATTCATGATGGAACTAAGTATTTCAAAAAGCGTCCTGAGATGCTCTAGCAAAAATGCATTTGTTTTGTAGAAACATTAATTTGCTGTTTCTTCATCAGCTGGTTTTCAGTTCCCCTGTCAAACCCACATGCTACTAAGGTTCATAGTTAAAAAAAGTCATTGATGTGCATCTCATGGTAATTTTTTAACATAATTTTTTCACCCATAGTCTCTTGAGAGTCAGTAGTGTTTACCGCCAAAGTCCATGTATTTGGACAACGGCTAGAATCTCTTTCCTTTTCCATTCTTTGATGGGACAGTATAGGAAAGAAATCTTTATTGGCTAACTGTCCTAGTCCTGTAGATAGCAAATGCTGTTCTGTTCCATCTGAAATCTAATTCTCCAGGTGCAACATGCAGCTTCCTTATTTCTCTGATAGTCCTTTGGTTCTTTCTGCTTCTTTCTCCTGTGTTACAGAAAGGCAGAAAAATCTCCCACGGTTCATTGGGAAAGAATCATAAACTGATTCGGCTTCCTGCAAATGAAAACCTAGTGCCTCATGTGAGAGAGTGGAATTAATAATCGATGCATCATATTATATACACTGCTGCAGTGTGGCATTTTGCTTCAAATCTACAATAACCCAAATCTAAACTATGCAGTTGCCAGTCACTGGTAGTACTTTGTGCAGGGGACACACCCTAGGAAGGCGTCAGTTGTCACTTATTTTGGTTTTCCAGGATCTAGAAGTCTGATATTTTAAAATAATTAAATGGACATAATGCTGTGAGAGGGAGTGAACATCGCATAAAATCCTGTTTATCACTCCAGCTGTATGTATATCTGAGGAGAATGGTTTATAAAACTCCTTTGTGGGTGACTATCATCGCTAATCAATTCCATATTTAATACTACTTGAAGCCCATTCTACCAAAACATTTAAACATGTGTTGTATATTCTGCTGAATTAGGGTTTCAATGAACAAATTGCAAGCTCCTACACAAAGAATAGGATCTTTTGCTTTTAGATGATAAAACCACTTGTGCAAGACTCTCAGGATTAAATTCTCATACTTGTATGATGCCTGATGTAGAGCATCCTGTTGATGAGAGACAGTGTGTTATCCATAGGGGTAGTCAGCTTGTTACACACATCCAGTGTCTCCTTTTGTTGCAGCTGAGGAGAGTATTTAAAGTCTGATATAACTCCTACAGAAATGAGTGAGAAATAGATCATGCCATGAGAGACGTCGTGCAATTCCACTGTATAGTGATCGTAGCATTTTCACCAAAATACTACTGATACTAACAGCACGTTATATCTGGAAAGATTTGTGTCCCAAAATTTCTGCCATGACCTAAGAAACACTTTCACGATGGGGCTGACTCTTCCAAGACAGTTTCTGAAACTGATGGGACGTTGTCTGATCC